CACAGCAACCACTTATAGCTTGCACAAGCTCCCTCCAAATGAAGTTTATCTCTTTCGCCCCACTAAACTGGCAAGTTTTACTTTAAATCTAGGTTTAAATCTATTAAGCTTATTTTATCCTTAGGAAAAAAGTATGTACACTTATTTCAATGTGCTTTTCTAAAAATCTCTCAGTGATATTACAGCAGTTTTTCCTAATCTACACATTTAGGTGTTAATACGTATTCTTGTGATGAACATGGTGCTTTACGTTCACATGTCTTTGAAGGTAAGCTCTAGAAAATTATATAGCTGCACAAGCAGTAGACATTTTTACAAACCTTTGTAAATTCCCATCAAAATACCACATTGAGATGTGATATGGAGTTTTTATAATATTTAATCAGATAGTTTGGCTGATGTAGTCAGGAGCCTAGCTCATGAATTGCTCCAGAAACAAACATGTAAACCAGATACACATCATTCCCATTTCACAGGTGGAAATAGTGAGGCGTGGTCCCAATGCGACCCACCTCCTGGCAGTTATATTAAATAGCCACATGCTCAAAATTTTTGGATTATCAGACAATAAGGGGCTCATCAAAGATTGGGATGGCAGACGTGGAAAATGAAATTCACTCTTTTTACTCCAGCTGTGGTGTCAATAGGCAGACAGACAGCCTGTACTTGAATTTTGCCCTTCTCTAATTATACACCAAGGGAAAAAACTGTTTGCAGAAGCACAGGGCAGGAATCAAAAAAATAAAGACTAATAATAAGAAATAGTTCTGGGGGCATATCAGGACTTTGGTAAAATTACTTTCTGGTATTTTAGGACATTCTCAATTCTATAATAAATTAAAGATTAGACCATATGTGTGCCTGAATTTCCCCTACTAGCTCAACATCTGCTAATTTGGTAATAGCTGCTCTGAAAGTCCTATAAATGAACCTAGCAGACTTTTGCTCTTTTAAGCCTGTAACACTTCTGCATACCTTTCCATAATTTTAACTTCTTTTTTAAATCACTAGGAAGAGACATTTTTGCCTAATATGCTGGGGTCAATTTGAGTAATAATAAGTACAATCAGATGCAGTAAGAAGTTTTCTATTTAACTTACATATCATCAGTATGTTTTACGGCTTTTGCTACAGGTGTATCAGCTGCACATTTTTATGTCACTTTTTACTTAAAACTTCCTCTAAAGTATGAGAAAATTATTTTCTCTTTCAAAGAGCCAAAATGCAAGTTTCTAGCAGTTTAGTAAAAAGAATTACTTTCCAACATACAGAAACATAAGTTTTGTTAACACCTAATTTAAGACTTCACATAATAAACAAACTCCTATTATTTTCCTCCTCCTTTTTAAATAATCATGAGGAAAAAACACACAAGAAAACAAAACTTCTATTTTTTCATCATTAAGAAAACTTGAATGATAGTACCATATTTTTAATTTTGGAAATATTATTCATATTTTGTCACAATAAAATGCTAGTAATGATATACTAACAAAATAAAACTGCTTTGAAGAAATAACATTATACATAGTCAACTGAAACAGCTTCTAAGCCATAAATTCCCATAAAACATTTAAAAAGATTATCTTGGTAGCATTGACTTAATGAATGCTCAAAATGCAAGCTCAAATCTACCCTGCAAAGCAATCATGGTTTTTTAGCAACTATTTTGACCTTAGTGACACAAACAATTAATTCTACAAACTTAATATAAAAATAAAATTCTACATCTAATGCAGAATAATCTGTCAATGTATTTAATCAAGGATATGCTTTTTTTCATGTATTATACATTCTAGTATCTAACACTGATTTTAATATACAAGGAAAAAAATGAAAATGAAAAGCTCAGAAGTGTCTGAATGTACACATACAAAAGAGGATGCTCACCGTAAGCCAAAAAAAGCAGAAGACAAGTCTGAGCAGACTACAGTTTGCATCATATTTTTAAAATAAAATTCTACACTCACTTTAGCAATATTTATAAATCTATAAATATCAACAGCAAGATAAGAAGTTGCTTACATCCTAGTCATACATCTTCAAAGCCGACCTGATGACTCGTGACAGCACCCAATCCATTTATCACCGAGTATATATTACAATATATTATAGAATGCTGTCATTCAGTCTTGATACATGGATAAGGAATAACTCCCTGATTTAAGTCAAACTTCTCATTTCTATATAAAGACCACAACAACACAATTCATCAAGAAAATAACAAGCGTCCAAACTCCATATAGTTGCCTACAAGAACATAATAAAGTCTGTTCTATCTTATTTCCCTTCTATAAATCCATACATAAATAACTTAAAAAAATTAATTTAGCCTAACTAGTCTTCTGCATAGCCTAAAATTTCTCTCATTTAACTTTCTCCAGCAAATATTCATGCCACAGTAAAAACTTATTTTATGATTTTACTTGGCTGATAAACCTTTTCTTAAGCATTAGCATCCCTTTACGCAGCTGCCTAGTTGAAGGAAATTATTAAAACCAGCAATCATTTACTTGCTTCCTTAAAAAAAGAGCTATTAAAAACTTGATTTTTCTGTTTGAAGACTCCCAATAAAATGATTCAGAGAAGCTAAATCCAGAATGTTAAACCATGAAATGAGTACATCTTGCACATATTTAAACAATAAAAAAACCTAACAATAATAATTGCTAGGGTTTCCTCTGTTTTTCTGTGTGTCAAAGTTTTCCAGACAAGTGTCACATATTAAAAACATCATTTACAGAATTACTACAGTGACAATAATAAAAGCAACCATCATTTTCCTCTTTATTCATATTTCAAAAGGCATCTGTTCAAAAACAGGGAGGGGGAAAAGAAACAGAAAAAGGGGAAGAAAAGCAAAAGTAGCACAAAGCTATGCCTGTTATCTGAAGGACATCCTACTGTATGTTTACTAGTGTTTATGTTTCACATCAACATATTTTATAGAAGGATTCATATGCCTAACTCAAGTTGTATTTAAATCCTATGGTGCAGACCCTACCATAAAACGCCTCTTGAGTCCTATTAACTGTACCCATGGTTTTACTTTGCCTGTCTGCTTATTTAAGATCTAATCACAATTTTGAAGAAAAGATTGTCACTTCTAAGCCTGTCCCCTCAGAACCTGTCTGTTATTAGAACTCAACTGGATATTTTCATCTTCAGTTGTAATTCTCTGTGGTCTTTGCAAATGCTGTCTACTGGAATCTCTGGCTGTATGGACAAATTGGCTACACATGCCTAGGACTGCTACTTTGAGAAACATGTAAGTGGCACATTATTCTATTAGCATTTTTGTGTTTTAAAGTACTTCACTTAAATTTAGTTTCCTAAACATAGTCACCAATTTGATACACTCTTTCTCAACGAAGATTTTAAAATTCTGTTAAAACCTGAACACCTGAATAAAGATGATGGCATAATTTTCAACAAAAACAATATTAAATTTTATATTTATTTATACGTATACAATTTTATATTAAAATAGTATAAAAATACAAGGTGTATATATACATAATCATGTATATAGAGAGAGGTAGAAACCTGCTAAGAACATAATGAAGACACTGAAACCTGTATTTTTTCAGACTGGCATGCTTTAAGTGCTCAATTGTTAAAACAGAATACACTTGAATTTGAAGCAAGGCACAGATTTAAGCCTTAACAACTTCTCATATTTCAATCTATAACTATTTCCCTCTTCCACATTTTCTGTCACCATTTAAAATATTCAACTATAAATGTAGCAAGTGTACACTGCTTAATTCAGCACTAAAAATTATTCAATTTTAAGAGCTATTATGACCCGTTATTTCAGAGGCCCATGCACATGCAATGTATCTATCATGTTAAAACATGTTTCTATAAAATAGCACTTTTATAATAGTTTACCTGACAGAAAACAACTTTCCTTCCATTAACGTAATACCTGACATTGAAATGAAAAACCTCAGCATTTAAAATTAAGGGCTTGAACTCCAAAGGTGCTGAGTGGGCTCAGCAAATAAAGGATGAGGCAGCCAAGACTTTCAGGAGTTTGAAGCAGGTACTGGGCACATTGCAGAATCAGACCCCGATTGTTTACCAAACAATCTGGGCTTCACTGCATTAGTACATTCTGTGTTCCCTGATTCAGAGGCAACTCCTTAGGCAGAAAAAGTAGGAGTTCTGTTTGTTCAGGTTTTAAAAGGAAGAGAAATTTTACAGTGACAAAAATTAATGGATTGCATCTTGTAATTAGGTGGTGTCAGCAGCCAGAGGACGGTTGAATTTTACGGTTTTAAACACAACAGTAGTTCTCCATTAAATTGTTGGGAACACGAACAGACAAATTTAAAAAATATGTCTTCAAAATGAGAAGGGAAACAGACCTGCAGAAAAGCTGCTTCTTCTCTTTTCCCATGTTTTCAAAATTACACATTCATATTACAGCTCATGCACACGCAAGCACATGCAGACAGGAACACTGTCTTTTTTATTTCAGTGCTTTTGAACTAACCAGCATTTTTTAATTACACCTATGACAGCAAAGTATCTTTACTGAGAAAAGTCACTCTGGTCCCTTCACTAGGGTCCCTTCACTGCCCAGCTCCGACTTTGGCACAATTCATTGCAAGCGAAGCAAAGTCTCAAGTAATGTGGCCCTCTGGTGGAAAAGCCCGCACCACGTCCTGCACGCCGAACCGCACAGTAAACTAACAGCTCCTGAAAACATGCACTGCAAGGCTTCGGCACAACTTTTATAAATACGCAGCAGGATTTTAATCACCAGGCAAGCCTGGTGGCATGCAGCCATATCAGCAAGATGCTGCTGCCACAAGAACGGGATCCTTCCATTTCAGCATTATCGTGCACTAAAACAACAACAAATAATGCCCCACACTCTTCACTTCCACGACACTCCGCATTCAGCACGCACCAAGGGTCTACAAAAAGGTCCCCCTCTGAAAACAGCCCTTTATTTGTTTAAAAACAAACAGGAAACAAAACAAACTTACCTGCTGTTGTTGCAGATGCAGCAGTTCTACTGTGCTTACTTCAGTGCTCGTGTCACCACTTGATCTTCCATCTCTGCTGCCAGCATCTAATTGGCTGCTTAGAGTGCTCATTCCATTTTGATTCATTGAACTGTTGCTTATTGTCTCTGTCGCAGATTCCTGCATCATGACTTAATACCTAAAAGTGATTAAGAAGTATCAATTAACACACGCGTTACACCTTCACACTTCCATTATCAAGATGTGCCTCTCTGCCAATTACACAGACAGCATCTTTAGAAGAAGAAAAAAGCCTCGCGGAGCCGTTTACCAAGAAATGCAATGCAAACTCTGCTTTCATACAGCTGCTAATCACTGGAATTATGATTTCTATAAGCAAGCTTTGTGTGCTTACATTTAACGGCCAAAATAACACACCATGCACGCAGCATGGTCAATAGCATTTATGAACGACTACGTTTTAAAGTCTACCTATAAAACCAGTTTAAGTGAAGGCACGATTTCACACACTGCTCTATATTTCCTATTATCTAGCTTTGACAACCATGGATGACTATACAGCCTTATTTAAAATATTCACTATCTTGATTCTGTCAGAATTTTACAGCATATCTTATGCAAGGCTGTTGTTTAATGATGCACAGCTAATCATACAAAATTAAAATTTTGTAAGGGTGTTACAAATCATATGGTATCAACCAATGATAAATAGTATAATGGGCTTCTCCTTTTTTGTGACTAAATAAAATTTTGCCTCGGAGGCATTTTAAGAAAAAGCTCCTGCTGCAAACACGTCAGATATTGCCTATTTTTTTAATCAAACGCCTGATATTCATTTATTTTTCTGACATTTAAAACATTTAATACTGTCCTTCCTGGGAAGTAATTAAGCTTATGCATGAGCAGCAATCAAACTGTTCACTTGAAGATGACTTAAAACTCAATTTTAACATAGGCAAATAAATGAAAGATATAAAATTAATTTTCCAGGCATGTATTAGATATGAAAGCTGGAAATAAAATCTATCAAGAATATCACTAATGATTGTGCTAAAAACAGCATAAATTATGCATATTACCTTCTCTACAGTAATAAATGTTTTATCATTTTCACTGCATAAATATACTGTACTTTCAGGATAGCAATGAGATGTCCTGCCAAGATCAGTTGAAATCTTTGCAGTAAATAAAGAACCAACGTGCCCTTACAAACCAGAATTTCAAGGCGCATTTTGTATCTGTAATATGGAAAGGTCAGCGTCTCTTCTCAGAGCCACCAAAGTCCTCTCCTGCTCTTGCAGGGTCAGAATGCAGCTCCCTTCCTTCATCCTCTCTCCCGACCTACTGACAAGAGTCCTCACAACAACCTGGCTCAGCTGTGATTTTAAAAAACACCTCTGACGGGAGAGGGATGTGTAAGCAAACTTAGGAAAGGAAACAAAGCTTGCTGCTTAGCCTAATTATTTAACTTAGCTATTTTTTCCCTTGCAAAGTATGAGCAACTGCCTTTCCTTAAAAAAAAAAAAAAAAAGAAAAAAAAAAAGAAAAGAAAGCAGGAAAAGGATCATTACAACTTCAACTATCTGCATGGGATATTAATTAAAATGCAGAAACAAGATCCTACAAGATAAAGTAAAAGTATATATTGTGTGAAAAATGTTAAAATAGCAAAAGATGAGTTATTTAAGGATGGTCTGGTCAGAAATAAACAGGATGCAAAAAGCCTAAACACAAACACAGTTAACATAAAGGAGGGCAGCTGTTATAGTCCAGTAAACAACAGCAGTACCAGATGTGTTTATGAAGAAACAGTCCTCCTAAAACACTTATGAACATCAGCAAAGAAAAATAATAGAAATGGAAAATGTGATACAAGCAGTGATGAATTTTACAAGGCAAAAACAAAGCTAATACTCTTTTCTGAGATTAGGCAGCTAATAAGTATTCAAATTAGGCATAAATTTTACATGTACAATGTTTAAAATATTCAGAGAAAAGGGTCTGATTGCCCTTAGTAGTTATATGAAAATTCTAATGCGGATATGCCACAACTGTGGAAGCAGACAGCCCTTTCCGATTTTTACAATATTTACTTTCAATAAAAGGACGTGTATATCAGAGTGGAAATTTATTTGAGACTTCATCAGCTGTATCGTTACAAGGATTTGGAAATTTGGGAAATTCAAACGTAAATCCTTCAGTGAAACAAAGATTTAACCAAGAGACAGGTTCATCTTTTACAAATTCAAACATTAGACAATAAGAGTGGTACATTTAGCCAGGCACATTAAAAGGGCAAAGAGGGGTAAATGTTAGATAATCAAAAACATTACAAAACACCCAGAAATGTAATAAATAAATATACCATCCCTCCTCTTTTTATATCTCTCGGACTGTTTCATTGCAATTAACAAAGAAGGGTTAAATGTCTTCCAGTTCACATTAACCAAAGGGTTTTATGTCTTGTGGATTTTGTATCCTCGCAAAGCCCCAGAGTGTAGTTCAGGCTCTACATTTAAAGTTAAAGTGCCTGTGAGCCAGCAGAACAGGCTTTAACATAACATGACCAGCAACACCACTCTGGCAATAGAAAACAAAAAATCCGATCCAACAGCTGGGTACAGACAGAATGAAACTACAGAGTAACAGTACTAGAAAGGGCAATTTATTTTGAACTGAACAAGACATATTTTTATGAAGATAAAAGAGACCCTATAATTTTATGTTAAAAATAAAATTTGGGGGGTGTTTATCTAGTTTTAAAATGATAATTTTAAGAACAACACTAAAACTTTGGCTAGAGTAATGCACTGTGTTGGTTGTCCTCAGCCCCCTCCTCACTGTCAGCAACTAAAAAAGGGCTGCTAGAGAAAGCAAGAGCATAGAAGCTTTTTCTTCTCCCTTCTTTTCTTTTGCATAGAGGTACATATACACGTGAGTCTACACACATGTGTATGTACTATCAACTCTAAATCCTCACAAACTGAAGCACTGAAAACAGAAAAACAAGGGTGATTTCTAATGTCTATGTATCAGTATCCGAGTTATTGGTAGCAAAATAATTTGAACCTGCAACATCTCACTGAGCAAACTAATGTACTTTTTTTCTTGTTTTTACAACAGTAGTGCAGATTGTTACCAAAACAAGCATAAATAAACACAAAGGAAATAGACAGGTATCACCCAGATACTAAGGCTGTAAATTTGGAAATTCAAATAGGACAAGAAAAAATATACAGGTCCCTGTTTACATACATTTATAGACATTCATACTTTCTAATCCTTCTCTTTTCTCTTGCTGTCACACTCGCTGTCAGTCATGAGCATGCCTACACAGGCACACATGCACACACGCACCCACATTCACAGACACATTCACCAGCACCTACTTCTGTTGTGATTCTGCAACTCTTGGCGCCAAAGGTGGGATATAAGCTTTGCTACCCGATGTTTTAAACAAAGGTATGGGGAAAATATTTTCTGCTGTCTGCAAGAGAGAGTGAAATTGTGGATAATTTTAGAGAGTGGTTGAGCTGCAGGTTGAATACCTAATCCTGCCAGGACAGCCAAGCTATCACCCACACCAAAAAAAGAAATACTCCACCTCATTAAGTTCGAAGCTACAGCTGTACTTTTCTCCCCTGCAGCGAACTGGACATTTTCTATGCACCCGTGTGCCCGCACGTGCAGGCGTGTGGGTTTTAAGGCGGCAAGTCACTGTACAGATACTTATTCTCTACACCACTTCCCTTTTGAAACATTAAACTGACACTGGAACTGACTGCACAAGATTGCATTTTCTCTTCCTAAACAACTTGAATTGAAAGGTTACTTAGTGTAACAATATTTACTTGCAGAATTGTGTTGTTACCAGGGGTATAATGGATGGTGGCTATGCAGGTTTACGCAAGAATGAGTGAAGCATGAGGCATTAGCCATGTGTTTGACATGTTTCAAATTGCTATAATCCAGCATTAAACACACCCAGCAATTCATGCCATTTCTTGCAGCCATAATCTTGAATAAAGCGTGCACAACCACTTATTATATAAATTAGTATATGACTCCCTGTTATAGTCACAACAGTGCTTTTGTGTTTATTTTGCATCAAGACGGGGTCTTTTATTTGTACAAATAGCAGGATAGCGCGCGGTGCCGCAATTAAACCTCCTCGGTTTATGGCGGGGTGTGTGCCATACCCGGCTGGCAGGGTCTGCGGTGCCCGGGGTGGCCCGGGTGGTGCGGGCGGCCCGGCCCCGGCACGAAGGAAGGCCCCGGCACGAAGGAAGGCCCCGGCACGAAGGAAGGCCCCGGCACGAAGGAAGGCCCCGGCCCGGCCCGGGGCAGCGGCGGGAGCGGCGCCGGCGCGGCCGCCAGGGGGCGGCCCTGCGCGCGCGGCCCGGCCTCGGCGTGCCGCGCACGTGCCGCTCACGCGAGGCCCGGCCCGGCCCGCGCGGAGCCGCGCGCGGCCCGGGAGCCCCGCGGGGCCGGCGCCGGGAGCGCGCGGAGCCGCCGCTGGCCGCGCGCCCCCGCGGGGAGCCCCTCACGGCGGGCCCGGCCGGAGCGGGGCGGCGGCGGAGGAGCCCTCACAGCGGCGCTGCCTCGCTCCCTCCGACAGACGGAACCCAGCCTGCGGCCTTTTAGAACCGGACTGTGATGGAAAAGCAGAGGTGAGGAGCTAGGCTTAAATAATAGTAACTTTTGTGCTCTGCTGGAATTAATTCATCATTGACACAAGATCTGAAGTCTTGCGCTGGTGTACGCTAAAAGCCTTTAAATACTTAAAATTGCTTAATAAATCAAAATGCCAAATATTAAGGACATAGCTGAATGTGTGAGAACAAAAAATTTGGAAAGCTAAGAGAACATTTATAAAGGTGTTTTTTTTTTTTTCTTTATCCAAAACAACTTTCAAAGCTTGAGTTAAGCACAGACAAGTCATTGCATAATTTTTAAATATGTTCCTAAGTTAATACACTTAAAACACCAATTAGGCCAAACACCATTGTAATACTGTAAAATAAAGTATTGGTATTAATAGGTGTAAAATAAAGTATCTGTATAAATGGTTTGATACACTACTGTCTGCTCAAATAAGTTTTCCCTGTAAAAATGTGAAATATGCCCAAACACCTTGTGCTGGAAGTTCTTTCAGAAAAACAGAGCTTCCAGTTCTAC